AGACAGTACGTTCCTCTAAAATGTTGGTAACCATGTACCAAACTATACAATGTCCTAAAACAGAGGTCATAATCTATATTTTCACGGCTCTGAATATGTCAAATCTCATGTAACACAGGATTTATAAAAAACGAACTGAACTGTAAGGAAGGTTTACACATTTACGCATAAGTAATTCAAGCTTCAAGCACCAATGTCGCTCTTCCTCAAGAGATATGAAGAGAGTGACCCCACACGTCATGAACCCCTCTCCTCACTGGGTCTGGATGTTGCCTTTCCACTCACCATCCGGCTAGCTCACTGCACCATCATCAAGAGCTGTTGTGGTGGTTTGCACTCACAATTGCAGATGATTTCTCCCGCTTGAATTTGTCTTCAAGTGTGCCAGGAATCTGATACATATATAACATTTTCTTTACTATTATTATTAAAAGTTTTTCATGAAGGTTTATATAGCAGTGCTGTCTCAATTGAGGTATGACAGTATAAGTGAAAACTGATAAAAACATGAGAGGAAGCAAACATTACACGTTTTATGTGGTATTTCAAGGCATTACTCTAGAAGGATCAAGGAAAACCATGGAACATACCGACCACAAGAGTCTGAAATAATCAGAATATAAAAGTATTAATGCTTACTGACGAAAAACAAAGGGAAAGGAAAGAAAGAAGCATAGCAATTAATATGTATCACAATTAGTAAGTCTCTGTAATCACAACTGTAATGTTATAATTCAAGAATTCTGGAGGGGTACAAGGTAAATTTGACCTCATGCTTAATTGCGCATGCACGCCCGCGTGCACACACACACACACACACACATAACATACAGTGCTTTAGAGTGGAAAGGCACTATGGTGGAATTCATTCGTTTTTTTTTCCTAAAAGGTGTATGATCAAATTTTTCATTTTCATAGAAATTTTAATACACTTGGAACAGCACTTAGATGCATTCAGTAATTACATATTAATAATGAACACCATGGCAAAAAAGGTGCCTTTCCTGTGAAATTGCGTAACATCTTTTTTAACAGGAAAACTGTGAATCAAGATTTGGCTAAAATGTTGAGGTGTTACTCTCCTCCAAAACAACTACATGGAGTTACAACCCGCAAGATTTTAATCTTTTTAATCACTGCTGTGAGAATCTGAAAGCCAGTAAAATACCAGATATACCGGACTAAATACTAGACAATAATAAATTAACAGGAGCTTCACGTGCCTACTGATTCACACAGGTCCTGTCAAAATTGTGAAGAAACTGAAGATGTATTAGCAACATACAGTATGTATGAAGCAACTCAGAAATCTTGAGAGAATCAATACTGTACAAAGCAAAAGGTAAGCTGAAATTTCTTTAATAACCATAAGCACAATAACCCTTGATAAGCTAAGGAAAGTATCGAAATAAAGCTGTTTCATACTTGTGAACTCATTTTCAGACCATGCAAACTTCTCACGTTTTGCACACAGAATTGTGTCACGTCCTACATGAAGTGCAATTATATTTTCTGTGAAGTTTCACAGCAACATGTTATATAAATAACTGAAACATATTTGTTTTCAAATGGGCAGCAATTATTCACCTTCTATCACAAGAAAGCCATATCACAATACCATTTAGAGCAAAGCTGTTAAGTGATAAAATATAGAAACATGAGAAAATCATGCCTTTTGAAGTGATTTCACAGGTACTTCTGTCATAATGATTAAGCACAAATATATTCCACAATTTCAGAATATATATACGTTTTGCACTCTTTAAAGATCTGTTTATATATCTTTAATGGATCTTGATGCCTTAACCAGACTGATATCCATTTAGACCTGCATCTGTGTGTTCAGGCCCAAGCACTTAACAGCAAAATTATTAAAATCCAAACACAGTTACTTGTCACAGGACCACAGTGTGGTATTAGTTACACAGTAACCACTAAATAGTGAGAATAATCTGGTGCCACATAAGGTGAAATGTAAATGAATAAAGATATCAGTACACTGAAGTTCCATTTTAAACAATCTAGGGGGGGGGGATTATTGGGTATTTTTAGTTCTTCTTAACAGAAATTTTACCTTAACAATGACAAATATTTTCAGTTCAACAACTTCAAAAGTAATTATAATTTCAGATGAACAAATGTTAAAAGCAACTTTACCTCTGAGAGTAGCAAACCACAGATATGATTGTCTGAGAAAAGTAGGTAGATACTATTTTACTTATTATAAGCACTGTATGAGCAGATACTGATTATTCACAGTAATAAATGTCCACACAATAAGAGGAACAATTAACAATAAACACAAAGTTTTGTATTCATGAATGCTGTGTTACAGTGCAGCACAACATTGTGTCACAGGGATCATTCAAGTTTTGATAGATCACAACATTAAATTTTCTGAAGCTTAAAAAATTAGATTTTTTAAATAAAGTAAAATGTGGCCCTTTTACCCTTGCAGTTAATTAAGTTTTTACAGAATTTTACACGTGTTTCATGCATATAACATGTTAAATAATTTATTAAAAAGTAAATAAATTGAAAAAAAAAATTTCATGTCAATAATTTACACCACAGAAGAAAGAGATGAAATGTAAATCAAATCCTGGTGGTCCAGAACACAGCCTCGTCACTATAATGGTCAAGGTCTTCACATTCATTAAGCAGAAATCATTTCTGGTAGCTATGACTGACAAGATTTCAGCCTCTGACAGAAAGGTTTACTATAAGAGTACAGGTACAAGGTATTTTAAATACTAGGGTCACACTGGATACAATGAGCCTTCCATTTATGTATATGGTGTCTTTTCCCAGTTTTACTTTTAAAGGAACCATTTTATTTTTAACAGGACATTACTCTTGCATGGAACAGTGTTATGACCATATGGCACAGAAAGGTCCTCCCTTTGCCACTGCTTCCTATGACTTTTATGTGCCTGAACTAGTATCAGTTGGTTTTTGGCAGGCCTTATCAGTATAATGATAACTGTTGTGGACCCTGAGCTTGTACTGCAGTTAGTATCTTTATGCACCATTTTAATGCACAAGCTCTTTTCCAGGACTGAAACTGTGGAAATAACTTCAAAGTTTAAGTGTCCATGAATGTATACCAGTTACTGAGATTGCTCCTGATATTTGAATTATTTTGTCACATTTTAAATTGCATATTAATTGGCCTGACACAATCTGCAAGAGGTCAATGAATAAAGCTGGATTTAATGAGTAGCTGTTTTGCCATTCCCTGTACCCACGATCAGTATTAGGACACCAGTTAACATCAATCTTCTCAACCTGTATGCCAAGCTCACATGAGATTGTACAGTGCAGTGTAGTTTGTGCTGGTGACGAAAAGCTTGAAGGTATACAGAAATATCTGATAATTACAGAGAGCAGGAAATATGGTAACTGAGATGAAAGAATGCCAAAATCAGGAGGCAAATCAATAGAAGAATATTCTCAGATAATTTTCAAGGCCCACAACAGATTCAATTACATTTTTTAAAGGTCCCTTTCGAACAAGCTCAAGCAGCAGAATTTTCTGAAAAATTAACTCAGGAATGAAGAAAACCATTTATAAAAATGGGCAGATAGTCAGAATGCTAGCTAATAAGGAGAAACAGCTGGAAGGAAATCAGCAGAAATGAACTTCTGAAGATATTCACAGCTGATGTAAGTGGATTCATATTCAGGCATAGAAGCAAATACAGAAACAACAGCATTAAAAGAAATGATCTACTAAATTACACAGTGGCACATCTTGGAAGCCCATAATACTGATATTCGTTGCTGAAAGACCCTCCAATCTCACAACATTTATTTAAGTGTAAGAATTAAGTTTTATACTGAATGAATGTACTAAAATCTTCTTGGTTGATAAGCCGATATGGAATGTATCTAACAAAATACAAGCAATTAAATTTATGACTGACAACACTAAATGTGAGTGTGAACATGAACATGAATCTAACCATGAAGAAAACATAAAATTCTGTGTTGTTACTCTTACATGCAAGGAGGTTTTCTGAAAAAATGTTTTAATGAAGGAATTACTATAATCACATTTCTGTATTAAATATTACTGAAGGTGATAACTGATTCTGTAACAGTTACACAATTATTGGGGGGGGGGATTTCACTGTTGAAGCCTTTGGTTCAATCCTGGGTGAATGCATGTATGATTCATGGTGGATGAAATGGAGCAGGGTTTTCTCCAAGTTTCTTTGGTATTACCCTGCTAATTATCACAATACCATCATTCCATCATACTCCATCTATCACCTTCTTCTGAGGTGTTTGATGGCCCTAACTAGGCAGCACATTATCACATCCTTGGTTTTAAGTCTGGAGCTTCATCTCTGGCCCAGGACTGGCTACTCACATGCCACATGACAGAAATTTCATGATCTCCCCTGCAGAACCCTCAAATGTCACAAATTTCAGTTTATTCATTTTATGAATTTCATGTATCAAATAAAAAGTCATACAACCAAACTAAATCAAATTACAGATCTGCAACAGACAAAACAAATGCACAGTCTCTATGTGAACACCTGAAAGACTGAGTGCAATTGGCTAGCAGCTCATTCAAAGATGTTTTGTTAATGATGGACCTACAGAACACAAGTCAAATTAAATCGTAAACTGTTATGAAATCTATGTCTTGAAGTTGCATGATTACACATACATGGTTCTATTGGTAGGTTCCAAATCTGTGATGCATGACACTTCAAGTGGTAAAGAATTAGTGAATAAAGCCAATACAGAAAGAGATAAAACAGAAACTCTGCATCTACAAACACGAAACTCAAACCATACACACCAAGTAATATTTAAAAACCCATTTCATCTTTCTTTTTAATTTGTTTCATTTTGGTCCATCACACTAATACCATTATGAAAAAGTTAAATAGTTTCGTCCAGTGTGACTGGTTAAGATTTTTTTCTTTTCTTATTTCAATTATTCATGAAATAAGAAATTCATGAAACAAGAAAAAAAAACTTAACCAGTCACACTCGATGGAACTATTTAAATTTTTCATACTATTTAATCTTATTTGCAAGCATATCTTACATAATCAGTACCACATAAAACTGTGACCCCAAATAATAATTACAAATAAAACGTCATAACAATAAATAAAAGAAATTCATTAAAAGTCTGTGTATTGTTGGTTCTTCCAGGCTACATGGCATCAGAACGAAAACCTATTTCATCTTATTTGATGCTATATTCTTGCAGAGTCAGTATCACATAAAACTGTGACTCCAACTAATCATCATAAGCAAAATTTCATGAAAATAAATAAATAAAAGAAATTGATTAAAAGTTTATGGGCTTTGTTGGTTCCAACAGGCTACATAGCATCAAACTGCAGAAGACAGTGCTCTTATTTTCCTTAGTTTTGTAACTGTACAAAAGATACGGTACATTTCATCTACTTTATGAATACATAGTAAGTTCCTCATAAAAAAAAAGATTATAAAGGTAAGGACACAACAGCGGTAATCTAGAATTTCTAACTTTCTTTCTGTGACTGACGACTGCTCATGGCAGGCATGCACACTTTAAGAGTTCATCTCTCTAGTTTATTAAATATTCTGTTCCATGCTCATCATACTCTTCACACATGAACAGGTTCTATATATATATATAAGGTATTAATAAATATTTATGAGAATGTTCACATAATGATGTCACTGATAATAACATGACTACTTCTAGATGGACAGTGACAGAGAATATTTTTAAGAGTAGGGAGCCTCATATACACCACTCTATGCTGTGTCGTTCACATGTGTGAATCTGTCTAGGAAGGACATGGACAATATTCCCACAATTTGTCAAATTGGTGATTCAAAAGAACAAAGTTTTGCACCTGGTTTTGTTGTTTTCATGTGAAAACGTCTGCCACAGATACAAACAAACCTTTCTTTATAAATACAATCTTGTAAGTTTTGGGTACCAAGTTCACTTTATGTATTATAAGGGATTAGTGCCTCATTAACTTGATAAATACAGAGAGCAAAGTATATAATAATTTTTAACAACTACATAAATATGTTCTTTTGGGTTTTTAAATGTGTTCTGATTATTCACATATTTACATTCAGACATACAAGCATCCATGCACTAACTTTGCAGATATCTTGTCACCCACATACCTTGACTTTGCCACACGTCTATAGCAGCAGTCCTAAAGTTCTTTGGGTACAAGAGTAAACTTAACGCATGCCACCTACCTTACACTGCAACATTCAAAAATGTCCTAAACAACAACAAATCCAGTAAGGCGCTACTGTACTAAGTCTCTATATCAACAGCATCCCAAAAGCACTTATCAGAAATAAGACATACACTGAGAGTTGTGATTCATATGTCTGAACTAATCAGTCAGTCTTTTGTGCAAATACACAAGAATAACAAATACAAACATGACGGATGCCATGAAATGTGGGACTTGAGTTTGAATAACTCATGAAGCAAGACTATATTCACATATCTACAGTTTTCTCCCAGTAATGTTATGTATATTTATTTATTAAAATAAGTACCAAGCTGAGAATTCTTAAATTTCAACTTACGTTCCCGTGAATCAAAAATTCAAGAACCACTGCTTTTGACTATAAAGAGTGTCTGCATATTACAGGGATAGACTAAGAATTCACACAAAATGATTATGGTATACTCCCAAATATCTGTACAATGATTATCCATGCACAAATTATCTTTCACTCTTCATTTTAATTTCTTGTTGAATTTGTTGAAGATCAATAACCCTGCAAATGTAATCCTTCACCTTCCAGAACTTGATAATGAGAAGTTGTGGAAAGTGAAAGAGGTAGGTAAAGATGGAATCTGCCACACTATGGCCCAATTTTTACCACTACTGTACTTCGGTCAACAACATTTGACTGTGAAACTGTCATAAGTGAAGAAACATGTTTGTAGGCTGAGAATTAAGTAAATTTTAATAACCAGAAGTTTTTATTTTATCAGTGCTTCAGCTAACCTCCATTAGCCTAGCTAATTTGAAGTATACCACAATGATGGAATTTCCATGGAGAAGCCACGTTTCGGAGTCCTAGCATTCAAATTCAACCAGAAGTGTTTCTTGCTAATTTTTCACACCGTAAGTGAAATCCACTTTCAGCTTAAGTTTTTTCTATAGTGAGCCATAATGTTTATATTCAACAATGATTTAACTTTTTAGTAAAACTATACTTATAATGTATTTCCTGCCCCATTTACCTACTCATGTTATAAAAGTTAATAGATGGGTATATCTACTCTCTGTTCTTAGAAAAGTGATACTTTCCCCAATTTAAAGAAACTTGTGTGGATTTGCAAACAGATACTGGGAGTCGTAATCACATAACTCCTGGCCGCCATTTTCATGCGGCTCTTCATGGTTGCATGGATCTTCCTCATCCTGGAATGAGTTTAAAGTGTTGGTTATAATCCTAATCTCAAACTACATTTGCCACAACAGAATACAAAAACAAAAGTGACTTTTTTTTTAGTGAGTAAAGAATACATACAATAATAAAGACACAAGTCTCAGCGTTTCTAGGCGTTTCTTCCACCGACAGAATGAACATAAAGACAATATTCTTCTGTTAATAGAAGAAATGTTACATCTCATAACATTCTTTTAAACTTCAAAAAGAGGAAAAAGCAAAAGGCATATATTAATTCCATTAAACACAATAATGAAAAAGAAAATCTGTCGTTCAGTTCACTGGATTTACGTAATGACTGGTAAAAAAAAATACTGGCATAATGTTGTTTCCTTGGTATGCACAGAATTACATTGAGGCTTTGCAATAATAATGGAAATTGGAGAAGAAATACAGAAGGTAATAATATATCAATTCATATGGTCTTGGGTTACCTTTCTAAAAGTCCCATGCTGTTCTTTAAAACTGAAGCGACTTTCAGGGTTTATGCCCCCTTAAATACGTGTATTTTTAATCTGTGACAGTTCAGAATAGAACCATAGAACTGACAATGATAATGAAAGTGATACACATTCATCCATACTTTGGGTAGACAGGATCTAAACTAGTGACTGAAGAAGCCCAAGACCAGAATGTCAGCAATCATAACAAGTAAAGAATTGGGAGGAGATACCTACTGTTGTTTACTTGGGGTAAGGAAATCTTGATATGCAAACAGTAAGGGCAGCTGGTTATGAACTCATCTGTGAAATTCCAAAAGTATGAGAACTCCAAATTAAAGAACTGTATATGTAAGATGCTTATTAAGAAATGATCCATGGATTCAGTAATACACTTCTCATGTAAGAGTATCTGTGGGGTGGGATACCATGACGCCTGATGAGGGTGTGACATGTGACAGCTTGCAAATGCACTTACAGCTTATGTGCACTGCAAGTGGCAGTGGAGGTTGGATATTCTCCACAATCAAAGGGTTTTTAAAGGTGAAGTTCTCCCTGTGCTTAATTAATTAAGCACTGTATCATAAGTTTATATGCAGTAGTGGAGGTGCAGTTTCCATACATCTATAACCTCAGTACTAGATGAAAGTGAGCAGTCAGCTGCATGACACAGTAACTTAACCCTTGGAGAAAAAGACCCTGGTAGCCACTGAACATGAGACTGCATGGACCCTAGAGTAAATCTTGATGCTGTGGAGAAGACAAATTCTTTTTGGTTATCCTGGGTTTCCCAAAAAGTTTTGTTAGAACTGAGAACTGGGAAAGGTGTACAGAAAAGTGTAGACCAGATACAGTTGGCTTCAAATCCAAGACCTTTAGTACAGAAATCCAGTGCCTTAATCTTAGAAAACCAGGTAATTTTGAAATTTATTTCATCCATTTGACACAAACAACTCCTCCTTATATTTGTAACATTTCAGAACCAAATGCATTAATAAAACATACCACCAGCTGAAGAGAGGTCAAAACTATGCTACTCCTTTTGTTCATCATATGTGAATTTACAAATAAAACTCTTCATTCGAGTGTATGTGACATCTCATAAACCTGAAAACTATCCTAACCTCAGATTCAACACCTTCATTAATAGATTTCTGTCAAGAAATAATGTTCAAAAGCCTGGTGTTATAAAACCCCTCCATACATGTTCATAGTGTCACGGTTAAACTCGTGGATAAAATACAGAAAACTACACTAGAACAAATAACAATCCCATAAATACATAACTACATCTTACTGTACAATTTTACTTACATTTATCGTGAACCAAACGTTTCTCACTCCATATCTTACTTTGACCAGCGTAAATTATGTACTGACAGACTGTCTGCTAATCGAACACAAGTTTCAACCCTACTGATTGTGGACACAGTCCCATACTTGAAAGTTCTACTTACATACTCAACAACTCAGCCTCAGAATTGAAAAATGCAGTTAGTTTAAACTGAACCCTAGATTTATGCAGTACCCAGATTTTATGAAATCTGTTGCATGCTAGTTTTATAGTTTTATATACATCTTTACAGAAATCAGTGTTACAACACATCTACTTATGGCATAGCACAAGGCAGCAATACTGCATGCAAAGAAGAGAAAAGCAATTCAATACTAATAAGTCTACATACATTACATATTTACAGCAGTCACAAAACTATTATCAAAGTAACAGGAAAGAAATTATCTGAAGCCATTTAACATTTAAATTTATATCATACTGCAAGCCAGATCAATACACATTCTATCTACACATGTGATGAATGTTTTTTTTTTTTTTTTGGCACAGAGTGTCTGTATGACTACATGCAGCCCTCATTTTGGTACGAGATATGGTGCAAAAGCTAGCTCTGCTTGTCTAATCACGTAAAAGTAGAAAACCAATTCTGTTGGGCCCAACAGACGAAACACACCTCTTGTCTCTGTTCCAGGGACTTTCACATATGTAATAAGCATCATCTGGCAACTGTGACATGCCACAAAACGTGTGAATTCAAGGAGAAAAAATATAAGAACATAATCACTTGAAGTGTCATTTTATTTCGTTGAGTATAATATCATGGCGGAGGGGGTGGTGCCCTGCTTTCTATCCTGGAGGTCTTAGGGCCACCCCTGACTAAGGAATTTTGTGGCTTTTCTCAGTTTCTTCAAGCAAATCTAGACTAGTACTTCAAATAAGGCCATAATCATTTCCTTCTCAATTCATTATTCATTAATCATCCTACCATTTAATGTTACACTACTAACATCACTGTTACATACAAAGGCCAAAGATTAATACTATAGCCCACTATGAGTCCTGACATTTTTTTTGAGGCATATCTCCAGTCATCCTTAACTTATAAAAGTCCCAGCTACTCATGTGAAAGCAGACTGTGTGCACCACAAAGCAGTCTGGATATGGTGATGAAGATAAAAATCCTCACTATAGCTAACAGAACCCAAATTCTCTGTTGTCCAGTCTATAGCCTATTACTACAATGATTGAGCTACAAAGCTCATATCAATAATAAATATAAAGTACAGACTAAAAATAGTGGGTATGTGGACACACATTTAATGGATGCTGTGTCACTGAGATCTGTACGCACTAACGATCACCAAGAGATTAAGACAAGACAAGACAAGAAGTTATAAACTAGATTTACACCCATCATAACCATTGGTAGCTGCCTTTCCTTTCCATTAGATATTATAGTTACATTGCCACTGCCACATTGCGGCCTGGGTTCAATCCCAGGGTCTGGTCAAGTGAGATCTGTGGTGGACAAAGTGGCACTGGGGAGGGTTTTCTCCAAGTACTTTGGTTTCCCTTGCCAATCTCCATTCCACCAAAATCTCCATCATCATAATCACCCGGGGCAGGCTACAATAGGCCAATCAGTGGCTGCCATGCCAAGTGGACCCAGTTGGACTCCACCCCCCACTAAGTGAATTACAGTGCCAAGACTTGGTTTTAGTTCCTAGGGAAGTACAGAGCAGTGTTTCTTAAACTGCTACTGGTGGTTATAACAGAAAAACCTCAAACAATATCAGAACAATTAATTCTACCACCAGCAAAGGATACGGTTAAAAATTATGCTCCGTTCAAACAACACAGCTAAACACCACAAAGAAGATAATGTTCTCTTTCAACTTGTGGATTGCATTAAAATGAGGAGATATAAATCTCTGCAGTTCTGTGAGATGTATGTCACCGCTGATTTAGATCAGGTCCTGCCTTACAATCACTATATGCATAACTGGGGGGCACGCGGTAGCGTAGTTGGTTGAGGGGATATGAAGTCCCGATGATTGGATTTCTTTCAATTGACCTAATCCTTCCAGCCGCATTATGGCCCTGGGGTTGACTCAGCCTCTAACAGAAATGAGTATCAGGAATTAATTAAATAATTTTCCTGGGGAGTAAAGCGTGGCCAGCGCATAAAGCTGACAACCTTACCACCATCTTTGAGCCAACTGTCTAGATAATGTGGGATCCTCAACGTCTCACAACCCTATGGGCCTTCACAGCCTGGTACAGGGATAGCTTTACTTTTTACTTACTTTATATGCATAATTGAGGTATTCAGGAAGGTAATCTGTATTGCCATACACTGGCAATCTGCAATACAGGATATCAGATATCTTGTTTAAAACTATGATTTTGGACTGTGTCTATGGTATGAGTTTATTAAAATCACCATGTTCAGAAATTAGTTTTTCAGGTGAACAGTATATGCAAACCATGGAGTGAGAGAGTAGCTCTAATGAAGGTCCCAAGAGAGTAGGTTTTTCTTTTCATGTCCTATTCACTTGAAGATCAAAAACAGAACCACTTTCAGCAACAGCATGATTTTAAGAAATGCAAACCATGGTTTAAACCACTTCTCAAACACAGTGGTTTTAATAAGCTTGGACAATAGACAAAGTAGAAAACAATAGTTCTAGGCAATATTTTACACCACTGTCAAAGGGCTTTAAACTTACATAGATATTTTCCTTTATAATTGCATTAGTTATCTTCAAATTAAATGAGTTAAACATATATGAATTTGTACAAACAGAACAACATTTCTGATAGAGGCGAACAGTGCTGTAATAGCTAGTATCTAAGCCAGAGCAACAAATGTTACATAGTATTTACAGAGGTCTCACAGCTAAAAGAATTGTTAACTATATCATATCCAGAATTAGCAGCTCAGTGAAGACTGTTACCTTCATAAGAGCTTATCTTAAAATGTAAGCAATATCCATTCATCAGTCTGTAAAAAAGGTACGTAGCCAGGAAATTTAACTAATTGCTGCATAAAATAACACTGAATGACTGAATTAAAGCAAATACTGAGAAACACTTTGAAGAACTGAGAGAACAAATATTCAGAATACTTTTCAGAAACAGGCAATTCAACAAATGGGTGAAAAATCTATTTGAAGTAAGTTTACCAATCCCACATCTAGCAACACATAAACAAGAAAACCTTCTACATATTACTTCACATGAATTGAAGTCAAATTTTTAAAAATGTCTTTAGCTACTTTCTGGACTCAATTATTAACTGAATTTTGGGAACTGTCAAAACAGGCTCTGATGTCATTCTCTGCAACATATCTGTACAGAACAAAATTTTCATTCATAATTCTGTTCATGATCAACAATCAGAAACGTGGTTGAGCCCAATTTGAAAAATGGACATATTCCTCAATTGTTTCTGTAACTGACATCTTCTATATTGAGAAACAATTGTATACAGGTAAATTTATTCACTGTTCTGATAATTACCGTAATTGTATTTAGTGTTACAATGTCATAGCATTAATTTATAATTTGTACACATCTATTTGATCAGTTTCCTAGCCATATGCAAATAATGATTTGAGAAATCATTATCTAGTGGTAACTGAAATACCTGGAAACTTTGAGTATTTATCACTGGGATAAGATAACATTTTGGTAAGGGAGGTTCACAGGATAAAGGTGTTTAGCATTGCATTGTGTGTTCCCTTATCTGACTGAAATTCCAATATTCTTTTATGGTGACAATGAACTTACCTTCGGTTTGGGGCGGTGTGTGTCAACGCAATCGATGGGAAGTTTGATGTGTTCCACTTTACAACCATATGCCACTGGTGTCAATTTGATGATTGTATGAAGCGGCACATACAGATATGGCAGTTCATCTGGAAGATCAATGTGTATTTTTGTTGAAGAATTAGGATAAAACTGATACGATACTGGAAATAAGTAGCTAGGTTTTCAATTTTAGTATCACAGCACATTTATTTAAAATATCTATATATTTTTTGTTATATAATTATGGAAACAATTTGATCCTGAGGTTTTAACAGAGAAAAAATATAACTTATGGGTGGAAAAATGTGGTTTTTGGAATGCTGGATGCATGTGCTTATGTCTCCACACTCCTGCAGCACATGTAGCACTCAGTGAGTTTCTTAGTATTTGATATCTGACAGTGTTCACACTCTATACACACAAGTATCAGTAAATTATCAGGACAATTTAAATGGTGGAAACATGCTTTACTTTTTGGAAGAAAGTGGTTATATCTTCTAATTTTTTAACACACACTTATTTAAGATATTATTATATTTTATTTTTTAACTTTACATTTTCTTAAATTAATATTATTGATCCTTCTGCCCGCCCCATCACAAGTTCATGATAACTGTTACATCTAACCGTTTATCCTTTAAATGTGAAACTAGAGATGAAGCATGAGGGCACCTCACTGAGAGTTAAAATATAAAATGTGATATTTTTAAAATAAAGTACTAACAGTTTTGATTAAATTTTACTTGTATACAGTGAACAATCTCATGTAACACTACACAGAGCACAAGTGAAGACAACGCCACATGCTGCTAGAGGGAACAATGCACAAGCAAGGGGCAAAGTTACAGACTCCAGATGTAACACAACAATGGGCTTAATAACACAATGGGAGGTATACAGATTGAATGCATAACATTCAAAGCAGCATCACATAACAAGATGGCAAAAATAACACTCTTGGAAGTATGAAACCTATAAAAGAAGGAATAAATCTATGGAAAGGAAGGTGGAGTGGGGTAAGAGCAGTAGCAATAGCAGTGATTAAGATAATGACTGGGAATTATTTAGTAAGTTTCTGCAAATTTTTTGTAAATCATGTAAGATTTGAGGTTTTCACAGCGGTGACTATGAACAATGCCGTCTTCTGGGATGTGGCGCCGTGCAGATATTGATTTTTGAAAATCATATTTGCAATATAATTATTACAAACCTTTTACTGTAGCTAACTTGTTCACGGATCAATCACTGATCTCAAATGTTCTGATGAAATGCTTACTTCCATGAAAGAGAACGTATTATATGACAACTTGACACCTTGATCAGTGAGGGACTGACATGTAGAACTAACAGATACTGCCCAAAATCAGTGGGTTTACTAGCTAACTTCTTTACACAATAATAAAAAAAAGTGATGGAGTCCCAACAATCCTAGTACCAAATCTCACCATTGGACACAACCATGAGTCAGTTCAGTTCACATTTTATGCTGTCTTGAGTCAATTCCATCAAAATTATATACTCATAACCCATATCTCAAGCATTATTTTAATATTATGCTTTCATATCATTCTCAGATCTCCCAAGTGGCTTTCCTTTCTACATTTCTTATTTATACTATTATAGCTACAGACCCACTCATTCTAACCCAATGAAGCCTCAAATTCACCTAAATAATATTTACAAATTCAGTTCTTTCCTCACACAAAACACACAATGCCTCTCTATTTCAAGGGTCAAGTGGTTAATGCTGTTTAGGGAAATAATCACCATTCATTCTAAGAATCATAAAAACACAAACCCACTCTGTGGGCAAAATGCAGACCTTTTTAATGTTAAAGCAGGTTTTACACAATGTAGCCACTTGCTTCAAAGTGTTAACCATGATCTGAATTCACAAAATATTACATGACTGCATATATCATAAAGTTCCTCAGATTCTTATATTTTGTGTTAAGATTACAGCATTGCCGCTGGCAGAAACAACTTGCAGAAACTTTTGTAGGGGAACTAATATGATTATTTTATGCTCTGAACTACGACATTACAATGACATGAGTATACTGTTACACAAACTACAGTAAGACTCCTTGGATCTTCTACTCACTTTGTAATTCATCCACTGAACCAAGTCCTCTGGCTTATTTTAAAGCCAAGAATTTTCAGTGGAAACGTAATGATGACAGCAAGAAAGTGAAGGCAAACATGACAAAAAAAACCAAGAATATATGGGAACAAGATTCTTATCTGTAACTTCCAGTACCAATTACTGCTTGTGGCTGCAGATGTACTTGAGTGACCTTGCATATTCCTCACCATTTTGAACTGTTCAGTCTCACAAATAAATCTTAAAGTGATAAAGAACCGTCCTGAATCCCTTGGAGAAGTGGCATCCTGTCTTAGCTGGATGGAAAGTTATGACCTCTCATATTCTGAAGAAATCTACCAAGCAGGTTATTTCAAGTGGTTAACTCATCTGACACATATTTGCAAGGTACTCAGCTTGACCTTTGAAGTTCTTTCTATTCCAAAGCACATAATCAGATTCACAATCTGTTTCTGTGCCTTGGCACAACAACATACAAACAGCAGGAATGGAGGGAAAGCTCCATGTATTCTCCATCTTTGACATTAGATGAAGTTGAGTGGTGATTTTCACAATCCAGCCTCTTTATTTCTAGTGAAAGAGGTATCTACAGGATAGATGCAGCATGAGTGTCATAGACAGTGAAGATATGGTAGCAAAAAGAAGAATTATTGCCCCTTCTGGGAATCAAATCATAGTCATCCAAGCCTGAAGTCACCATTCACCATTTTATCTGAAGAAATGTAACAATCATAGCTGATACAGTGTTTCTAATTGATATATGAACCTTAAGAAGTCTTACTGCACTGCATTAATCATTGGAAGGTGGAGGATAACACATAAAAGATGACAACAGTGAAATATTACAGAGAGGGGGTTCACTCAAAGAGCAGCCACGGGAAGCAATCAGCTTACTTCGCATCAAGTCCTTGCCACACAATGTGGTACTGTGGTCACAGCAATAAGAGCAAGAAGAGCACTTCTGTTTCAATACTGTTAAGAAAAAAACAAAACCAAGTTTTTCTGATAGCGAGTGAAGAACTTTTACTTCATTGGCATGGCATGGCATTTGTCAGGTAAACTACATCACATTAGCACATTTCCAGCTTATACTGTAACTATTCCATGCACCATGGAAAGACATTTCATATTTCTTCTACACTTTCATGGGGTTTGGCCCTCTGGCCTGAGCAAACTAAGAACAGGAGACAAATAATCCTATAGACTATTCTAGGACTCCTTTAATGGGGGATCAGCATACTGCATGACTTATACTGTTATAATACACAAATAACAAAGGGAAAAAAACAAACATCAATATGCATTATTCCAATATGTGGAAGGTCAAACGCAATAAATTAGATTTACTTTTGAATAATACTGTCTTCTGGGATATACACCATATACTCCATTGAAAGTCAACTGAAGTTTCATAGGAACATATTGCCTCTTTCTTCAGAGTTGAAGAATAAGCAGAGAAAGATACCAGCGTGAAAGCAGGTGGCAAGCAAAGTTCTGTAAACCTAAGGATGGAAGAGATGTTCCTCCAAAATGTCCGTTGACTTTCAACATACTACAAGGGTTATAACCAAGAAGATAGTATTTTTCGTAACCACCATTCTGAAAAGCTGAAATTTTACACAGATTTACTGTTACTAAATAAACTTCACATTTATTTTACAAAGTGAGCTTGAACACAAAATACATTAGTTAAATGTGTGATATTATCCAGAGTTGCCTTAGCTGAGTCATCAGCATGCAAAAGCCACTCAACTATACAATAAGCAATTATGAGCTGACAGCATGAAAAGGAACTGTACACATTACTAAACTACAAGGAAAATTACAATACTCTTCCTTACATTACACATGGACTTATGGCACTGCAACCCAGATAATATTTCATTCTCCATGCAACAGATTTCTTGACACAATTGCCTAAAATGATGCTAGCCTATATCATACATTTCTGTATGTTCCAAAACTTCTACACAATTTAAATGATACAGGAAAATGAACATCTAAAGAACAATCACAAAAGGGGTTCTCATATTCTGTGACAATGCAATCTCCTAGGATAACACACAGATTAATATGACCTGAAAGTCCCTATCAGGCTACATGGTGACAGCAGGAACATAAAAGCTTTACTACAGCCTTTCTAAAATGGTCCTATGAAATAAGGTAATTTGTTGGCTGAAGATATATTTTCTGAAAGCACCCACATTAAATGTTACTGATCTGCCAACATCTGCGCATGGACACAGCTATATTTTAAATAATTCCTGAGAATTCGGCAACTTCCCTTAGTGACCGCCCTCCCCAGCGGAGGGGTTTGAGAGGGGCTTGATGAACCATGTGCTACAACGAACAGTGGAGCCAATAATTATTACAGTCTTCTGCAATGTGATAATGTGTAGTTGGATGGATAAGTACGAATGTTTCAGAGAAATATGCTGCCTCCATCTTCAGGGTAGAGGAGTACGGACAGAGGCAGTTAAGTTCCTCCAAAATGCTGGTACCTATGTACCAAACTATACAGCGTCATATCCAAGAAGACAGTAATCTTCACACTCTTAAGAACCTCAAATCTCTCATGGGTGGAGCCATTTCTATGCACTCTACTTTGCCCACACTTTCTTATAAAGTGACTGTTTATTGTTCTGCGAGCTATGCTATTTTACTGACCTGCAGATTTGTCCAGGAAGTATGCCAACAGACATCTGATGACTGCCTGGTGACTCACTACAAGGACATTACCCTGACGTTCCAGTTCCATTATCACAGGCTCTAATCGTGCTACCAGATCTTCGTAACTCTCGCCACGAGGATATCGGTATGTAAACTTGCTCTGGTCACGTGCTGTGAAGTCTTCAGGATACTTTTCAGCAATCTCTTCATATGTCATCTCTTCACAGATTCCCTGAAGTATGAGATTATAGAAGACTTCACACTTTAAGACCCTGAACGTACAAATGTGCGGGTCAGCACGTTGGGCAGAAAGAGAGAAGAAGAGGTATTGGAATACAAAGAAAGGGAAGAAGGAAAAACAAGAGAAGATGAAATGGCAAATGAAGGGAGGAAAACAGAAGAAAGAAGGAGAGTAAAGTTAAAGGCACAGAAGAGGGAAGATAAAATGGAAAAATAAGAAAGTGGAGGCGAAAGAGGACAATAATGACTTGGATCTGAGAGGGCTGAAGACTTTTATAGTGACATAATTCATGGAAGCCTGCTGTCTTTCACTACTATCATTGTAATGGTCCTTGCATTACATTTACAGCACTGTGCCGATTAGAGGCCAATAATCTCCAACAAAAGACACCCCCGTTTCCATAGTTATTTAAAATGTTGAGTATCATAATATTTTAATAAAACTCAACTAGGAATTTTGCAAGTAGAATCTAAAGGGTTCTGATGATAGCGTACAACACTCAGAATTACATGGGGTTTTGGACTTCATCCATCATCTGGTATTCTAAAAAATGCTAGAGAATATGATGTTTTCAAAACTGAATCTGTTTCTGTCCTCAGGTGACGGGGAGACACCTACGCTGTTGGGTAGATTAGAAAGAGCAAGTCCAGTGATTCAGGTTAGCTCTCTAAGCTGTACTCTCTAGTGCTTTTTAGAATACCAGACAACGGAAAAAGTCCATGAACCCGGTAATTCCAGATGAATTTTACGGCTCAATTAAAAACAAATAACACTGCCTTATAGTCAATATGATAATTAATAATAACAATATCAATCATCATTAATAACAACAATAATAATCTGATTTACATTGGGTCAATTCCATGTTGATGTTCTGCTCTGCTCTGCAAGCTGCTTCAGTTTCAGTAACTGAAAAGTGGAATACAAACTACTAGTAAGGGTTAGTTCAGAGAATATGGATACCCTTACTGCAAGTACCCAATCAAAATTCTAAAATTCTTTGATAGGATACAAAGAAGATATTGAGAACAACTGTCTTTGAAGTGAAGTGGAACGTTCTACAAACAGACATGTTCAACCATAATTAACCAGTAAATGATAATACCTAAGTCAGACAAAGGACAGATGAATTTTTGATGCCCATGGACCATTACATATACTGCTGAATTGTGTGGGCTAAGTTGTATTACATCATAATTGAAGGAAAAAAACTGATGGAATATGTGAGTTATATTTATTAATGACAAGTGTATAGTCTGAGAAGGCTTCAGTGAATGAGCTGGTGTAACAATTTATATGTAGGGAAGTCAAAAATTATCCGCATTGTTTTCCCAATTTATATACACAAAAGTAGGAGTTGAACAAGTACGTCATTTTTCTACATAGTCTCCTTCCTTTTTGATGCACTTGGTCCAGCGGTCCACAAGCTTGCGTATTCCCCTCCAAGAAGAAGGGTTTTGGTTGGTTATGCAAACCATCTCCTTCCTTGTTGAAGCACTTGGTCCAGCGGTCCACAGGCTTGCATATTCCCTCCAAGAAGAAGGTTTCGGTGGGTCACGCAACCATCTCCTTCCTTTTCGATGCATCTGGTCCAGCGGTCCACAGGCTTGCATATTCCCTCCAAGAAGAAGGTTTTTGGTTGGTCGGGCAACCATTTATGCACCGCTTCCCCCACTTCTTTGTCCGTAAAGCAACTTTGAGCGGGTCAAAGAGCTGATAGTCGGAAGGGGCGAGATCTGGGCTCTAGGCAGGGTGTTCCAGCACCTCGAAACCCAATGGTTAATGGTTTCAATGGTCTGGCCGGCCATGTGTTGGCGTGCATTGTCATGCAGCAACAACACTTCATTCGGTAATAGGCCTCGGCGTTTGGTGCGAATTGCTGGTCAGCAAATCCCTGTATCTTGCACTGTTGATCGTACACCCTTTTTCCAGGTAGTCTTCCAGTATAGGCCCTTTTGAGTCCCAAAAAACGGTTAGCATCACCTTTCCCGCGGAAGATTGAGTCTTCAATTTCTTGTCCGGCCACTTTTAAACTTCTCGATCCCCTCATACACACTTCTACCTGGTAGAGCACTGTCCCTGTATTGTGTTGAAAGCCTCCGATAAATTTCATCCCCTGATACACATTCCAACCAGAGAAATTGGATCAGTGTTCTTTGCTCCTCCTTGGTGCACACTGCTAGCAGAGCGGCCATGTTTACACTGTCACAGCATGAAGGAAAATGACGTGATCGATGTCAAACTTCGATCACGTGACCACAGTAGTACCAACTCTAAGCATGCATGTGCAGAATGCAGTGTGATAAACCTAAAGATGTGTTACGGCGAAAGTGCGGATAATTTACGACTTCCCTTTGTATACTTAGACTAGAAAAAACCTCACCGAAATTCCAATGGGAAACTCAGCATAAAACTGGCTGAAGAAACCATTTCTGTGAATGTACAAAATTTCTGCCTATAAAAAACACTGTCAAAAATACTTAGCATCGATAAAGCAGTCTGTAACTTTTCCTTATACCAAATATACAAATTTTGTGATTTACATATACACTAAGATACTAAACTTCCTGTACTGTATCTCTGTCTTGTTGCTGTTAATACTTTTGTGGGTCCTGCACCATCTTATAAATTCGTTTTATTGATCTATATGCATGAAACAGCTTGAGAACCTATGAACCAACTTTCATAAAATTTAATATATACTAAATTTTTTCTACTCTTTTAAATTTCAATGAAAATATTGTCATGTGTTAGTCACTAGACACTGAGTTTTGATTGATTATTGGATTTATTGAACAATTTTGTTCCACAATTACAAATAATTCTGACGCTATCACTGAATCTACACACTTCATAATTCATTACACACTAACATATAGAAAATCCATAGAGTGGCATTATGATACCTAGTAGTTCATATCATCCATACAAATGTAAACTATTAGGTATTAAATACCTACTACACTGATTACACACATACCCAGTAACTAAAAAGTAAAAAATATACAAATGAACACCATCAGAAACATATTACTCAACAACAAATATAACACCAACTTAATTTGAAAACTGCCTCCCCCACAAAAACAAAACACACACTCACCCCTGGCACCAAAAAACAAAATGGGTCACCTTCACACACAGTAGTAAAGAAGTAAAAAGAATCACTAAACTTTTTCAGGACACACAAATATGAATAGCCTTATGAACATAAAATACAATACAAAACACACTAAAGCCCCTTACACAAACAGATAAGTACAAGAGAAGTGGTATTTACCAAGAGAAATTCCTAGATTTTCCACCAAAAATTTTGGTCCAAAATACATTAAACAAACAGGAAGAACACTTAAGATCAGATATAAGAACACATTCAAGCAGTCAGAAACAACAGTAGCAAATCTGGATACTCAAACCACATATTAAACTCAGGATAAGCATATGGAACCATAATGGACACGACAGATATTATGAAAACAGGAAGGAAAGGCAAACATTTAACTACCCTGGAAAAATATTACATCTATAGAATCAATAAGGATAATCTGCATATGCATGATACACATATTGACATGAACAATCCCATATTTAAGACAAGAACTTTACATTAGATATCAGCACACCACCCCGCAGTTACCCTATAAAAACAGAATTAAACACACTAAACACCCATACTAGCTGCATGCACACACCAGGTAAACAAGGGCATATGTGAGCACTAAAAAGAAAATGAACACAGATAAGAATCATATAAAGAATGTCTTCTACATATTGAAGACAAGAAAATCAACATTCACAACACCACCCATGAACTACACAAAATACAAACACACCCACGCTACCATAGATTGTGGTAATAGGTCCCAATAAGATGATTGGATTTAACTGTTTTTATTAAATTTCATAGGGTTGACCTATTTTAAATTTAATTTTAATTTATGATTTTTATTCTAAGGAGTAGCAATAACTAGCCACATGCAATTGTGACATGCAGTACAGTATAACAGATTAGCACAGCGATAGACACCTGATGATGACAACGTATGGCCGAAACATGTCATGAATGAAGAATAAAAGTGACTATAACCTTTTGTTGCATTGGTGATGGAAATACTCGTATGTATTGTATGAAACAGTTGCTTCTTGTAGGCTCAAAGTCCTCTATCTCCCGTTCTTCCCCTCTCTCTTAATTTTCTGGTTTAACTAGGAAATAAATAAATCTGTCTTCACAGAAAAAGTTCGAAGAGTAATATGAGGCACATCAAATATATACTTGTGTGTGTATATATATAATGTGAGTTTTAGGAATAAAGTTAGAAAGGTTCACATTCCTCGAATCTAAATCACACCTCAATTTTTCAACGGGGAAAAAGATATGTAAAATCTGTGTCTTTTATTTGAAGTAATACAGTATAAAAGATTTAGATTCGAGGAATGTGAACCTTTCTAACTTTATTCCTAAAACCCACATTCTATAATTGGATGTGTCTCAAATTCAACGGCATCTTATATCTGAAGTAATACAGTACTATCACTGTTATTACTTATAAATATAATGTCACCGTGTTCTACCTCTTCAATCGCAATACATATTATCGCTTCTCTTATTTGTTGTTTATAACAAAGATAAATTCAAATTAAATTCTGATGTCTATAACATGAATACTAGACAAAAATATAACTTCCACCTACCCTCATCAACTTTATCAGTATATCAAAAAGGAGTCTACTTTACTGGCATAAAAGTGTTCAACAATCTGCCACAAAGTATTAAAAACTTGGGCAATGATACTAAAAAGTTTAAATCAGAGTTAAAGAATTATCTACATGCTCATTCCTTCTACTCTTTAGATGAATACTTCAATGTAAATAGAGAATGATGTAAAATTAAGTTATATTAATTTTTAAGCTAAAATTGCCTGTACTTATGTATGTAACCTTTTGACTTGTTCTGTATCCAAAGGTACTAACCTGCTTAGGATTTATAGAATGTAAATAAATTCAATTCAATTCAATTCAACAAACTGATGAAAATAGGTGGCCAAAGATACTCTGAAATGACAAACCTACTGGATAGAACAGCAGGAAAATCAAGGAGACATTGGAACAATGATTTCAAGGCTGGTACAAGCAATAAATTTAACCCAAGAAGATAGAAATACACCTGATAAAAATGTTAATACTCACAGCATCTATTTCATTGAGAGCTTTCCAGCGTTCCTGCGGTGCTGGAATTGTTGCTACGGTCTGAATGGTTCTCTTGAGCCATGACGTCCACACTCTAAGTCCTGTTATTTCTTGTTGCTGAATGTAGTTCGCTAGTGCAGTTGCATATAACTTCCCTCGATAAGAGAGATCTGAGTCTCCTCCAATACGTCCATCAACATTCATGTCACTCTCACCATGCTTTTTAAACAAATATTAGATATTATTAACATGTGTAGTAATATTAACTAGCGCAATGTATACAGTTATCAAAGAAATGGAGACAAACCACTTACCCTTGACAGATAGATTGTACGAGGTGTAATGTGAATATTCATCAGGTAGTAGACAATACGACTCTGGATATGTCCCTCATGCTTGTGTACCACTACCTTCTCGCCTGTATGCAAATACAGTTTCTCTTAAAACGCAAAAAAAAACACTCTAAACAAAGATATATGTGAATTACATCATTAATGTAATAAAGCATTAAATTTGAATTATTTCAGTTCAAATATAAATTAAAAATAGTTATAAATTTAATTTTTATTGGAAACTGATCACAAAATTTTATTTTATTAATCAGCTTTCTTCAGTATTTTAGCAAGAAGTGGGCAAAGAATGTAACTGTATTAAAATGCTGTATGTACTTTCTGCTTCTTTAACGCCTGATGGTTCTACATGTCCCACCTGCTTCAAACCCCATGGCTTGAGTCCGCAAGTGAACAATGCCGACAAAGCGACCGCCGCCTGTCAGTGAAGTTTTTTTTTTATTGCTAGTGGGGTTGGACTAAGTCCCTTGTACTGCAGCCACTTCTGGCCTATTGTACCAGCCTCGGATGATAGGTGAGGGTGATTGTTGAGCAATTGGTGGAATGAAGATTTGTAGGGGAAACCGAAGTACTCGGAGAAAACCTGCCCCAGCGCCACTTTGTCCACCACAAATCCCACTTGACCAGACCCGGGATCGAACCCGATCCGCCGCAGTGGGAAGCCAGCGACTAACCGCTTAAACTATGGCGCGGCCCTGTCAGTGAAGTTAGTGACAACTTTAGCAGACAAAGGGTGTCGCGTGGTCAGTGCAATGGATCCCCACAGCTGTTAAATTCGGTTTTCCAGACTGGAGCCGCTATTTCCTTGAAATTAGCCGCTCAATTATCCTCACAAGGCTGAGTGGACCCCGTTCCTGACCCACTACTTCTCAGAAAATATGGTAGCGCCAGGAATTGAACCCTGGATTTGTAGCCAGGAACTCTGACCACTAGACCACAGACATGGTCATCCCACCTGCTTTACCATACTAAAATTTTGCATTCTGCCCACAGAGTATATTTGTGTGTTCTGTATGGTTCAAAAAAAAAAAAAAGTAAAGCTATCCCTGTACCAGGCCGTGAAGGCCCATAGGGTTGTGAGACGTTGAGGGTCCCACATTATCTAGACAATCGGCTCAAAGATGGCAGCAAGGCTGTCAGCACTGGCCGCGCTTTACTCCCCAGGAAAATTATTTAATTAATTCCTGGTACTCATTTCTGTTAGAGGCTGAGTGAACCCCAGGACCACAGTGCAGCTGGAAGGATTAGGTCAATTGAAAAAAAATCCAATGACCTCACTGGTACTTGAACCTGCGACCTTCCGGCTTGTAGCATAGCCCCTCAACCAACTACACTAGTTCTGTATGATTCTCACAGGAAACTGTGACTGTTTCCCTAAATAGCACTAAGTGGTTCATTTTTGTAGCAGACACATAATAATGTGTTCCTTGTGAGGTACACGCTGAATTTCTCTGTATATCATTCAGAAGAAATTCAGTCATTAAATGATTAACACTTGTTTGACTTGATTTCATGTTAAATAAAAATGAAATGATGCTTTGGAACAAATCAGCAAAGACACTGTACTGTATTTACCTGACTATAAGATATGTTTTCGAAATTTCATCTTAAGGAGGAGGAGTAGGAGGGGGGGTGGGGGGCTATTTGAAATCAAACATGATAAACAATTTCTGGGAAAGCTAGCTATCTGAATCATTAGATTTTCATTACACATCTGCATGCAATATATTCAGTTCTGCATTACTGCAGCTGTCAGACTGTAGCTATTTGCTGTTTTGTGGAACATCCATAAAAAGACTGTCCATATTTCCAGTGTGAATGCTTTGGCTCAACTGGCTTTGCAACTAGCATTGCTATACAGATGTGTGACTTTATATGCCACATTTTCCACACACCGTTTACTTGTGGATGCACAGTGATCTTCTGTGGTGGGTGTGGAGAGACTGCACGGTGGTGTCAGGTAGCAAGTAATTTGGTCCATATTCGGTAATGTCTCACAAGTTTCTGATTATCCCTGGCATTTTACTTTCACTTGTCATTCACACATGACAGGGAGGTAGTCATTCTGTATCATCAGCTACTTTGTGTCAGTTGTTTATTCTCTTGTACAGTTTCATTGCATTTCTATAGTTTGATTTCTAAGAAAATTATGTGTCAGCAAACCATAGTGCACACTTAAGTGGCCATTCCATGCATAACAGAAAGACATTAAATGCTCATGCAAGGGATTACTCTGCTAAGCCCATAATATTATGGACATGATTCAACATGGCGTCCATGCTGCATCCATATTCTTATGGGCACAATCTTTGTAAACATGGATCATCCAAAATTCACTTTCTGAATGTACTTCCATCTATTGCCAACATAATAAAATAAAAGGTAGACCTATTTCTGTGTTTGTATGCCACCTGTAAACGAATTTAGAAATTACTGCATCTAGCAGGGGAAATATCATACTCCACACACCACCTGATCTTGGCCATGTCAGGAATAGTTAAAATACATCTACATCACATCTTCATCATGTCAGATAAGATTCAGTATGCACGCCCTGCTCAGATTTCTACACAATTTCCAGCTATTTTCATAAATTAGCATTACAAAATTAATTCAGCATAGGGGGTTATGCTAGGCTTTATTTACTCAGCAGTGAAAAGGTTAACCCTAATACTAAACAGTGATGCATAACTGCTGTTATTCATTACTGATGCATTTCATGATGACGACTGTGGGATACACCATTTAGGGCCATAAAAGAAATTATGACAGCACTATGATACCGCAAATAACAGAATTTATACAATACAGAAGCTAATGGAAAGAACATGAGAGGATGAGCTCTCATGGGATCAACCCCCCCCCCCATTAATATCAACCAAAAGGAAAAATGTCTGGGAACTTCCCTAAAATGATTGAAGGATTCTGCATTGTAATACCTGCAATGGATCTCCATGGGAAAGAATGGTGATATATTATTCATTTCAACAGATTTTACGTTTAAAGTTTTTGTAGTACTTGTGTCTATTACCAGTAGATAACAGTTTAATAAAACACATGACTAATATCATAGGAGTCAAAATGAAACCATGGGGCATTCAGGTTCCACAGATTCCTTCATTCTCACAAACTGCATATGATGCCAGTTTTAAATTAACATTATCAGGAATACCAAAGAGACTACTAATTGTGGAATTACTGTATATCTAAGGTCAATGTGTAGTGATGGAATTTTATTATGATAAGGCAAAACATTACATTTTCTTAAATTTTGCCACTGGGTAGAAATGTCATCTTATATTCAACACTGTTATTGTATTGTATTCCAAAAAATGCAAATATAACATCCAGATTCTGACAACTCTGCAAATATTAAACTGAAATGGATTGGAAGATCAAAGTAGAAGTGGAGATGAAGTTCCAAACAGGTTGAGGGGCCTAATTCCTGGATACCAATGATGAAAACACAATGGTTGTGGTGAATCCTATGCTGTTTTGTAGTTAATCATCCTATCAACAGAGTATGACCATTTATATTTCCTGCAATCCTGACATAATTTTTAACTTCAAATTTCATACGGACATTTCATGCAACAATTTAGTGGCGAATTTATTTTTGGTTTTGTTTACTGTACATTATGCAACAATATAATGATTTAAAATTAAATCCTTTTAAAATTTGTCACTGCACTACATGTTTCAGTCTACTTGGCCATCATCAGGTGCACTGAAATTCGGGGGAACAAGCGTGCCTTCCGGGCTACAGCAATCAGTGTTCATGTTAGTATTTTTTTTTCATGGAATACTTTTAAGTTGTATATTTTTAAGGCGGATAAATGTGTACTTACTTTTTGCTATGTCTGTTGCTTATTTTGTGTGCAGTGTGGATGTTATGAGTGTGTGATGTAACTGATTCTGTTTTATACAGGGACTGGCGTGTGTGCTGCTATCTGCTGTAGTGTTTTGAATATTGTGTAATAAGTACTGATGTATGTCATTCACGTGTAATCTGTCTTTACTGATTTTATATATATGAAATTTTTCTAACATGTTCAAATGTTTTCCTCTTTTCTCTATTTTATAATGTCCACTGTGTCTGTTATAGTGCCATTTGAATGTCCTGTGGCCAAAACATGAACTTAATATCCGGAGTTGCCATTATTACTTCTAACTGCCTTTGTATGTTCTTTATATCCAATCTGAAATGATCTACCTGTTTGTCCTATATAGTTCGATGGACAGTCTAGGCATTTGATTTGCTATACGACACTTTTTTCATATTGTGATATGCATCCTGAAAGCTGGAACAGTCCATTGCTAGACAACGGGTTGCTAGGCAGGTATCTCTGGCAATGGATAGGATTGTGGGAAAACCAAACCACTGCTACGAAATTAACACATACTTTCACTGCAATGGATATGCAAAAAATGAAAGAGGAATGGTTGGAATTGGTAATCTCTACGAGTACTTGGTTCATTCCAAAGCTATAAAGGGGGACACATAATTGATTCAGAGTTCAGTTCTAAGTGAGCCATGATTCATTTCCGTTGTAATAGAATTCAGAAGGCAGTTCAACAGTTCAGTCTTCAGGTGTGGAGTGTTAACCAGTGGACAACAGAAGTTGAAGAACTGGCTGATTCGTAAATCAGAACCAAGTCACAACAGAAGAGAAGACATTCTTAGTCCAGTAAGGAATGGAGCGAGTTTTAGGCAGTCACTGATTACGAGCTGCTATGATTGATTTTAACTGTAAAGAAGGTGGCAATAAATCCAATCAGCCAATCCAGAATCTGTTACTACTAGTCAAGGAACCCGACATGTGACAGTATTTATCTACTTCTGAGTGTAATTTTATGATGTTCTGTATTGTGTTCCACGTTCTGAATGTTATGTTTATTGGTGTTTCTTTAGAGACCTTCGTTATCTTCATTTCTTTTCCAATGTATGTGATGGTAGCCCATTTTTTCTTTTGATGTTGCATGCTATGCCGGCAGTAGTTTAACTACCAGTAGGGTTACCCATTTTTTTTAATTCGCTTAGTGGGGGGGGTGGAGTCCAACTGGGTCCACTCAGCACAGCGAATGGAGAATTTGGTGGAATGAAGATTGGCAGGGGAACCCGAATAACTCGGAGAAAACCCGCCCAAGCGCAACTTTGTCCACCACAAATCCCATTTGACCTGACCCAGGATCAAACCTGGGCCACCATGGTGGGAAGCCAGTGACTAACCGCCTGAGCTATGGTGCGACATTTAGGGTTACCCATGCTGGAAAGGTCAAAGAGTAGAGTCCAGACTAAGAGAGATACCGTGGTCCTCCAGGTTGGAGGTTGGGCATGAGGCTAACAACCTCATCCTGTAAAAAGAATTTTGTTCAGAAACCTAACAACCAGCCTCGGGTCATCATGCGTGGATCCATGATGATGTCTGTGTGTGTTTTATGTATATTGAGAATTCTAGCTTTGGTTTCTTTCAGTGTATTGTGAGATCGAGGAAATTAATGGAGTTATTTCTTTCTCTAGGGTGAATTTTATATTGGTCTGATGCTTACTGAATTCCATTAAGGTTTATTTATGTTTGTTTTCTATTGGTTATAAATTATAAGGATGTCATCTACATATCTATAGTATCCAGTTTTAGGATTGGATATATCTGTTTCTGTTGCATGGTGTTGGATGTACGTATGTTTCTGCCAATGTTACAGATGTTGGAGCACCCACTGCTAATCTGTCTATTACCTTGTAATACTGTTGCTCAAATTGAACATAATTCTGTTTTGTTAATGTTTTTAGTTTATGTATTTTTTCTTTTCACTTGCTTCCATCAATTTTTGAGTTACTATTTAATATATTTATTATTATGTTTATCATATCTAATTTTGGCATATTGGTGTACAAATTCCTTATAATCTAACAAACACATTTGCATGTTGTAACTGATTTCCATATTTTATTAAGTCTATAATTAAATGGCCAGAGTTATGAATGTTGTTAACATACAGCAGACATAAGTATTTGTGTAAGAATTGTGACAGATGTTTCACTAATTCATACACAGGTGTGTTTGTCCACTTGATTATTGGTCTAATGGCTATATCTTGTCTGTGCAGTTTTATTGTTGAATGTGCTGTTGTATCCGAAAGGATAGTTATGGGATATTCACATAGACTGAGTGGATAGTCTGTGGTTTGGGATCGTTGGAACACTGAAGAATTGAAATTCAAGTCTTCAGAAGTCAATTGTGAGGATAATTAGATAAATGTGTTGAATGAAACAGTTGTACAGGTTTAAAATAGGTACATTATCAAGTAACTGGGTGATGAATAAGCAGAAAGACGTGAATGAATTCTGCACCAATGAGGTAGGAATTGGCGGGTAGCAATAGGTAGCCTCCAAGAAGCTGCTGAGCATAATACTCGATGATGAACTGAAGTTCACTATAAACACATGTAGTGCATGAAACGAGTGATGATACGTAATTAAACTGGCAAGGAGTCTGACTGAAGTGAACAAGTCCAAAGTCTAGTGTGATGTCCACTGTGGCTGACACAGCGTGAGTTTATAAGCATTTCCTTTGTCTGCTTTGGTTATGGTGAGTTTATTTGTTGATATCTTGTGCTTTTATATATGTTATTGTTTCAATGGTGAATGTCTTGTACATACTAGCCACATTACAACATTTTCTTTTTATAGTGAATCTAACAAACTTGTATTTAAGGCTTCAGGGCTAACATTGCTACATTGCTATTTGCACCAAAATCTTCAGGAATCAGTCAGCTTGTGAGTACATCCTGCCATGATGCAGTATACAATACAACATGTGCTGTGCTGTGCTATGAGAAGTACGGGAGTTAAAACTGACACTTCATTCTGTGATTAGCTGCCAGTTACTACATGCTACAGGAGGCTGGACATACCTGTGTTGTATATTTTCATAAAGCTCAGATCTGATTCTTGCTTCTCATCCAAAGCCATGTACTTCTCCTGATAGTGTTCAATCCTCTGTAGGAAGTCCCTGAGTGCCATTTCTGTGTTCATGTTCTTATAATCAGGGCTGTTCACTTTCACTTCCTGTTTGTGAATCAGATTAACAGCAAATGTAGTATCTGGTGCCAATTCATTTGGAGTATTTAAAAACTCACACATATCATGACTTTTTTTTTTCAGAAAAGTGTTTTAGCCCTTTACAATTCTTCAGTATTTTAAAAGAAATAAGAGTCCGGTAGTAACTTACCATAATGTTCTGTTCTATGATCTGTGGATCATCACAGACTGACTCTACAAAGAAAAGCTTGAATCCCATCTTATTCACAACAATCTCCTTAATCATTTGCCGGCGATCCCATGTTGAATTGGTGGCATCAAACACCTGACAATAGACAATGATTATTTACTTACTTACACATGGAGCTGAGCCCTTCTGGAGGAGCTGCCAATTCTGCAGCTACTCAAGAATTTCCCAGCATTTTATGGAACCCAAAGGTTCATTACTGTGTTCACAAGAGCCCTCCACTGGTCCCTTTCCTGAGCCAGATCTATCCAATCCATACCATCCCATCCTATATCTCTAAGATCCATTTTAATATTATTGACCCACCTATGCCTTGGTCTTCCCTGTGGTCTCTTTCCTTCTGGCTTTCCCACCAATATCCTATTTTAATTTTAATTAATTTTAATTTTGCCTGTGGTTCTGTATGGGTGTGAAACTTGGTCTCTGACATTAAGGGAGGAACATAGACTGAGGGTGTTTGAGAACAAGGCGTAGAGGAGAATATTTGGACCGAAGAGAGATGAAGTGACAGGAGACTGGAGAAAACTGCATAACAGAGAATGATTACAAAATCAGAAAGAAATTTTGGGAACACCTAGACATAGGTAGGAGAACATTAATACGGATTTTAAAAAGACAGGATGGGAAGGTATGGATTGGATTTATGTGATTCAGGATAGGGATCAGCGGCAGGCCATCGTGAACATGGTAATGGACATTTAGGATCTACAAAGTTCTGGTAATTTCTTAACTAGCTGAGGAGCTATTAGCTTCTCAAGAAATATTTTGTCAGTAAGTATGAAGAAATTCTGGTATTCAGTATTTATTTGCAGTTTCAGTATGAACATCATCTGAAACTGAAGGTTTTATTATCACTCACATCTTTAAATTTTCTCATTATATAGTCTATGCTCATGCAACATATTCCCCAGATAATTTCCAATATATAATCATCCCACACGCACGCAAGCATATGCACGCAAACACACACAATACAGGGTGGGGTGTGAGGATGTGATGTATTTCATCCTTGTTGCAGATAACTGGTTGGAGTGGGGAAAGCGAATATTGTGCAGTTTAGGGTAACAGACATGGAGAATTGGACAGTGAAATACTGAGTCTTCACTGAGAGAATTTATTTTGTAACTAAGTCTACTGTGACTGTACAAAGACATTTTCAGTGTTAGTTTGATGCCCCAAATAATGTCAGAATTCCTTTGCATAATGCCACTTTAAAGCAGGTTTGAAGATTTCAATGTTTATGGAAGTGTAGCGAATACGCCTGTTGGGCCTGCACATTCTGTTTCCACACCAGGGAATGCTGAATGAGTGAGAGCTGTAATACAGCAGAGTCCAGTGCACTCAACAAGGTCACCTTACACATGTCAAGCAGGTCCATTAAAAAGATTCTGCATGAACACTTGAGAATTCATCTGTACAAAATCAAAGTAACTCATGAACTGAAATAACAAGATTAAGTTTCTGATATAAACTACCATAGACAGTTCTTAGACCTTGTGGATAATGCTGAAATCGTTTTTGGATGTTTAAATATGTCAGGTAGGGCCATTTCCATTTGTCTGGCTATGTAAACAAATAGAATTTCAAGTACTGGAGGGACAACAGACAATCCTATGAAGAACCATGAGAAACCTCTCTGTAGTGAAAAGGTAACCACATGCTGTGGTCTGCTGTGCTGTACACATCTCTAGCTATGGAAACTGTAAAGGATAAGGTAAAGGGTGAAAAATGTATTTTTTTAACAGGTTGTTGTAATGGCCCTCATGACTAGGCAAACTATGACTTTACTTGCCCACATTCCATCCAGGAAATGAAGGACCATGTTACAGAGAAAACTGGAAGGATTAATGGTGCTTTATTAGTGAAATATGAAACTAAAATTTTCTTAATATACAGGTTGTTTCATGACTTTAGGGTATAACTGCAGGAGGTGATTTCCTAGGTCTTTGTGATCAAAAAAGTTCATATAAACATGTGTCCGATTTTGGACGGTTCCGGAGTTATGACCGTTTTAAACTCAGAATAGAAGGTAATGATTACTGACAATAAACAGAACAAAATAATAAACCAGCATAATACATGATAGATTTAAAGTATAAATGTAAAGTTAAGTTCGTGAAATTACCTTTAATTTGAATTGCTTGGTGCCTAAAGCTGATTTTCGAAAATGTCACCGCTGGGTGCAACACAGGCTGCCGCTTGGTTGTGAACCACGCTGGACATACCAACCCACCCCGCTCTTAAGTGTCAAGATAACGAGAACGCTCTGTCTGTAGCAGGCTAAAAATAGCGACCTGTCAGCTGACAGACACGGTTCATACAAGGGCGTGTACGGGAATGAAAAAACGGTCATAACTCCGTAACCGTCCAAAATCGGACACATGTTTATATGAACTTTTTTGATCACAAAGACCTAGGAAATCACCTCCTGCAGTTATGCCCTAAAGTCGTGAAACACTCTGTATGAGTGCAAGATTTCAATGTTAAATATTGAGATATGGTATTTTTAAATTGTTTCTTACCTTGTATTTGGGATAAGTATAATTTCTTCTATCTTGTGATTGTGGAACTGATGTTAGGAAGTCTGGTGTTTAGGTAAGGTAATGTGATCTGGTGGGATGGTGTTTACTTGTCAATATGATTCTTGTACAGGGTATATATACTATGTATTTCTTTAGTATTTTCAGGAACACAAACAAGGAGAAAATGCAATTATATACCTACAAGCCAACAACACACATACTACTTCAACACAAGGTAAGGAAAAAACATACCCCTTCCCAAAAATACTGCATATTCTCATAAAAAAGTGTGTTCACATTCCAGACCATGAAGAATCCCCCAAAATATACATCAGTAGAAGAGACACATCTACACACAAGTATGACATTCAGACAAACATAAGAAAATTTTTACATATGTTCAATTTGAGTGATTTAATATTTCAACAGTTAATATTTAATCTTAGAGGCAAACACACCTTTTTATATATAACAGCATTACATGCTACTAAAAAAACAGTATTCCAAATGCAAACACTGGCCAATGTAGGAATACCAGCAGATGAATATAAGTGAATGTAAAAAGTCAAATATCTGGTGATGGCTTAATGAACTGAAACATGTAAGAAATGATGAACATATAGTATGTCCACACTACTACTGTGGTGATGGAATAAAATAACGAAATTTCACACCCTGAGATATAATATTCTTATTTCAGTTTTGTTTATAGCAGTCCACTATGGCCCTGACTATTTTACGAAAGTTCACTCACATTCCTTTCCACCACAAATACATACTCCAGACAGAAGTGAGAATGAAGTCCAGTATTAAACACAGATTATTTTCTGCTCAATGTATAAGAGGGACTCAAAAGATAAGCAAGAACATACACATGATGGTACACTGATTGCAGAATCATTCTTAATGGCTTAAGCAATGTAAGTATGTGTTAATTCTATGTAATACATTTAAAAGTGATATATGTAAATAATATGTTTTCCATCTAACTACTCAACTAAATTTTCAAACAAAATATAAAATACATTTAATACTAATTTACTCACTCACCTGATATGAAAGGGGCACTAATCTGGTACAGAGATGTTTCCAAGACAAATATAAGCACTGGGGTTTGGGCATATGGTTATGGTACAAGGCAGAAGCTTAGCTTCAGCCTTAGGAAACACACACAGTATTCCAGGCAGAAATGTATGCCATCAAGGCATGCACAGTAGAGAATGTAGACAGGCACCATCAAAACAGAAATATCCATATTCTATCGGATAGTCAAGCTGCAATTAAAGCACTTGACAATTACCAAATCAACTCAAAACTGGTTCGGGATTGCCATGAGTCCAGTGTGAAACTGGCTAAACATAGCATAGTTCAACTGAAACAGATGCTTAGTCATGAGGGTACTGAAGGTAATATAACTGCCAATCAACTTGCAAAATTGGGATTTAAATGTCCTCTCATATGACCTGAACTGCTTTGTGTCATTTAAGCAGGAACTGCCAAAAAGTCTGTCAGGGACTGGACAACCAGAGACCATAAAAAATACTGGGAGTCCTAAACAGGACTCAAACAGGCAAAGGATTCCTATGACGATGCTCCATCAGAAGAAACAAGGAATGATTAAAATGGAAACTATTTACTGCAGGTGACAGGACTACTTACTGGATATTGTCACCTGAAAGGATACCACTTCCAAATGGTACTGATGAATGGTCCCATTTGTGAATGATGCCTAGAAAAAAGATGAATCAGCCATACATATCCTATGTAACTGTGAAGCCATAGCTTAAGATTTCATCACCTGGGTCACTATTTTATGGAGCCAGGTGATCAGCAAGACACCCCTGTAAGATACTACACTTTGTTCGAAGTGTAGGATTGTTAAAAAAGGGTTGACATAGAGGCATATGAAGAGGATCACTGAAGGTCTTGGTGCAAGGGCTGGTCTAGGCCTGGCCTTTATGCATTCATTCAATTTACTCATTCAATAACCAACCAGATTCTGGGTCAGAAATGAGGTGAGGTGATAATGCGCTGCCCGCTCAGGGCCATTGCATGTCTCTGGGGGAGGTGACAGATGAGTATGAAGCAATGGGAGAATGACACTTAGGAGAGGAAAACTGAAGAAGCCCACAGAAAAACCAGCTCCCATGCCATTTCATCCACCATGAATCTCCTGTTAAGTCACGCAGGATTTAATTTGAGGCTCTGTGGTGAGAAATCAGCATCTAACTGCCTGAGCTACCATTTATAAATTCAAATATTTGGGAGTTTATGANGTGACACTTAGGAGAGGAAAACTGAAGAAACCACAAAAAACCAGCTCCCATGCCATTTCATCCACCATGAATCTCCTATTAAGTCACACAGGATTTAATTTGAGGCTCTGTGGTGAGAAATCAGCATCTATCTGCCTGAGCTACCATTTATAAATTCAAATATTTGGGAGTTTATGAACTGTAAAATCTGGTAAACTAGACATTCAAGGAGATGTGTGCTACATACTGTGGCATATTTGGTCAAAGCAAGAATCATGGAGTCACAATGGCTGGCCATTACTAGGCAGTGGCCTGTAAACAACAATAGAGGAGCGGTGCTGTTAGTGCAGTCCATGCCAATGGCTGCGCACACAACAATGGAGTAAGTTATGCCATCGCTGAGCAAAAATGCACTGCAATGGAGAAATGGTGTTCAACAACAACAGAGGAATGGTGCTGTTTGTGCAGTCCATGCCAATGGCTGCGCACACAAAAATGGAGAATGCCATCGCTGAGCAAAAATGCACTGCAATGGAGAAATGGTGTTCTATATGTGTGTCCATGCCAAGATGTTACAAGCAAGAAAAGTTATGAATTGCAGTTGGTTAGATAACCACAGGGGTTACATTGTAAGCTGGTGCTGTAAGAAGCTGGTAGCTGAGGCTGCGGGCAGTTAGGTAACCCAGAGGAAGGGGAACGTCCGCCACTGAAGCAGCTACCAAACAACACCTAATTAAGACTGTAACAGACTAAGAAGACCCAGTATGTCCTAGAGTGATTTGTGAAGTGTGTAGAACAGCAAGAACTTAATCCTTACTTGCACTTATGAGTTGTAAGAGTTCAATAAATCTGATTACCAACCCAAACCCCAACTACAGTCACTAAAATCATGACACTATTTAATGTAATGTAACTCACCGCAACCTCACCACCATTTTCTAGCCAGGAGCACACATCGTGCAGAGCATCAATGGCACACTGCGTCCGGATGGCCATGGCCTCTCTGTTGTCCGGCCTGAAGAATTCGTGACTTTTATATGCAGAGGTTGCATGTCGTCTGTATTCACCCAGATTGAACACTGACCAAGAAACAAAAAAGCATCAGCCACTGATTGTTTAACTGAACTACTGATCTGATCAATTAAGCAATTTAGCCATCAACAGGTGTACTAAATACAAGGCAAACCACCTGTTCGATGTGTTGTCTCTGCAAGGCTGTCTGAAGACAGCCTAAAAATTCCAGAAACAAATTTTAATTATCCACAATAATCTCTGCAAAGTTATTTGTTTATAGTGGCATTACAAAGGCTGAAACAAAACAGTAAAAAGGAACAAGAAGGGTAAATATCCATGACCACAGATCAGCAGTAATGACAAAACACAGAAGTAATCTGGTGCCAACTAAAACAACTAATTAATCAATCAATTATCTGAGCAATTTGTTATAAGATTTGATGTTTTCCAATGCTGGTATCATCCACAGGTCTCTCTGGTGTCACAACTTAGAAGATAATAATCTAAACACTTGCTGCTGTGAACATATAAAATTATACATCTCAGTAATCTCTATGGGGAGGCTACACTACAAAGACTTTGATCCTGATGATGGGGAAGACGATGTTCCCTGAAATGCTGTTGTCCACCTACGTCCCACAGTCCGGAAATCCACTATCCTAACTACAGTAATTCTTCAGTTTTTGTAGTGACAAAAAAAAAAGTAATTTCTTATATTTGTGGACATACTACAATTTTGTAATTTACATGCTGAACCCTAAAACATTAACTAATGCCACAGCACTCGATCATTCTTCAGTAGTATATAATTACTCAGTTGACTTATGGACTTCACACCAGAGAACCTGAAGGCTGACCATTATGGTCATAAACTGCCACTTGGAACTTCAAAAACCATTTCTTTAAGATATCTCTTGCACTTTCAAGAACCGAATTCTAGCCTTTTGGTTCTCCATTCTGTAGCTTAGTCATCATAACATCTGACTTATCCTATTTACATTTTGATTACTTAGTGCCTTAATGTAAATGATGGAAGAAGACAAACTTTTCTATTTCTGGCAGTGATGATATATGTGACACAATACTCTTTCTAAGGATGCTACAAGGTCATGCACTTATTTTTCTTTATACTCAATATTCAGACAGTAATATAACCATTAAAAATCATAATATTTTTATTGAGACGCGAATTTTAAGTGGGAACATCACAACCATTTGGAACAACAGAAAACAGTAATTTGATTAAAATAATTCAAGTACAATAACCACTATTTCTCTTTTTTAACTTTATTGAATCTGGTCCCTCACACCAGTCAATATTATAGAAGTATTTGACTACACCGTCCAGTATGACTCAAATGTATACTTATTACAAACCCATGCCATGAAAATGGTATTCAATTGAAACATACACCCACAGTAACATGCTGCTTAAAAAGATCTATATAAATGTATACAATTTGTCATGATTTATGTGAACTGCAGACTTTCAGAGAGGTCTCTTTCTTAGACTGGAATTCAGACAAATTCATCCCCACACACGTTCACTAAGAAATCTTCCTATAGTTCAGTTATACATCTGATATATCACAGGATGTATGAAAGAAATGAAATCTTGTCTCTATGTTACATGACTACACATCAATTTCTAGGGTTCTGAATGAACCATATTTTCAGAATCCTACTAGCAATCTGTGGTTGTTTGCCTCTTTGCCCATTCATCCATCTGTCCCCTGATTATAGTATCACACTGCTGGACCCCATCCCATCTCAGTACTCTGTAGCTTTGTGTGACCAATAGTACCAGCATATACAACTGCACAAGGTGGGTGTAACACTGAACACAGAATCTGAAATCTTGCTATTGTAATGGACAATTGAAAAATAAACTGGGAAACAAAACACAGAAGATGCATAAACTATTCTGATATGTGGATTTGGTAACTGGCAAATCACTGTGACTTTGCCTCTGAAATCTGTACAGTGACATGTTACAAGACACAACATTTGTTAGCAGCAGGAGTTCTTTCAAAATCTGCAATATCTAGTCCTCAGGAACAGAAAAATGCACCATGCTAACAGTAAAATGGGGGGGGGGGGGAATTAAAGGGTAGATGCTAGAGCATTCCTGTGCTTAACTAACTACCACGCCATGAAAGTGTATTGGGAGTGGTGGTACAGCGCCACTATTCTTGATCACAGCGCTGGATGGAGGTGAGTGACTAGCTTTACACCCCGGCCACTTTGCCCCAGGGTAAAGAACGCCTGGTACCTACTGCATAGGAGGCTGGGTGTGTTCTAGAGCCAGTATGGATGCTGTGGAGCGGGAAAAAAAACTCTTTCCTCTACCAGGAATTGAACACTGGCAGTCCAGCCCGCTGCTGTACCAGCTGTGCTATTCCGGCTGCCTCTGATGACAAACAGTGAGAGCATTTAATCTAATTTGTATAGAAATGTAACTGTTCTGTCAGTTAATCTCCGTTTCCTATTGCACATCTAACAGACAACATGTGATGATATTGTTAAATTTACTCTACAGTCTTACCAATATATGTACAATAACCATGACGCTCAATGTGAGGTGTAGGCATTGTGGTAGAGTCTCAGGATGTGATCTGAATCCTAAGTATTAACCGTTTTTGTAATAATACGAGTAAACTTTAATATTTTCATTCTAGTGTCACTCATTCTTTAAAGTTTTAGCTACTACATATTGTAAAGAAAAGCAACCACATTTCAGGTGAAGAATGGGTATGCCTCCTTGTACTCAGTACTTCTTTTACAGCAATATGAAAATGAAGTAATCAAATAGATTACCTTTCGTGTTAATGCCAATCCAATTGAGATACCTGGAGAGTTTCTTGGAAATATATGTCTTGCCTCGGGCTGGGAGGCCAACCATAGCAATGACATGAGGACTGTTGACATAGTTCGCTCGTTCGCCTGCACAAACATAAAAATCTCATGAACATAACACCACTTACTTTATTCCCAAAAAGAACCCACAAAATGAACAAACTCATCACAACAGCTCAAAGTACAACTTCAAAGCTTTGACGAAAATTACGTTATCAATATTTGCATTTAAGAGTGGTACGCAGTTTAGTGAAGAGAATGGGCTTTTGAAGGACAGAATGAAGGAAAGAAAGGATGACCACTGAAGCTGACTGAGGACAACACATTTCTAAGCAGTCACCCATGAAAGTACAACCAGCTCCTTTTCCACAGATTTCATGAGTTTGAAATTTTGTATTGGATTGCTTCACAATAATGTAGGTCTTTGGTCAAACCAAAAACTGTCATACATATTGCGTGTTAATGCTAATTTTTTAAAACACAGAAAACCTTTCTTCTACTGTATTTATGCAACAGTGCTCTAGTATCTTAGATTACATAGCAGATGGTAAGATGACTGGTGAATAATGAACTGTAAAAGAAGCAATTATGGTCAAATTTAAGGCATCCTGATAATTTCCTGGAGGGACTGAAGAAAGTCACGAAAAACTTCAAGTTAAAATCACTGGTTTCTGTGCCAAAAGCAGAACCCACAACCTCCGAACTACGAAGCATGATAGGTACCCATTTGATGGAACAAATTCATATTTTTCTTATATATTTAACAATCAGAACAGCCTTCTTTAATTCATCAAGATATATTTTGCAGGATCTGAGGTTCTCACAGCAGTGGTTATGAAATGTTTACTTTCTGGGACATAGTGCCATGTGGCTCTGCTTGCTATGTGCTTCACAGTGGTTTCTTATTTGGCTTGTTCCTCAACCGTGAAGACGAAATTAAGTGTTCCTCCAAACCGTCAGCTAGATCTCAACAGAATATAGGGCATTATATCCCAGAAGATGTACTTTATATGCAATAACTGAATTGTTAACTAACTAGAAATTGGAGGGAATGAAACACCCCATCACATAAAAATAATGGCTGCCAAGAAAAAGCAAGCCATGAGCATGGTGTACAGCACACCAAATTGTTCAGTATATTGGTTGGCACAAAGAAACCTGCCACAAACACACACACATACAAATACGAGATCAGAGATGAGCGTTTCAAAAGAAAACACTTGCTTATATTTGTTACAAAACATAACTAAATATTTCTTTCGGATGCTGAACATTTTTAGTTTTTGTATTATGTAGTTACTGTGTGTGATGGAATACTAACTTCATTGATATTCATTTCTGCCACATTCTGAAAACAATGACACCTTCTCCTTCATTCTCTAGCAAAACTGCTTTATATGTGCTGGCAGACACAAAGTTTCTGAGTCAGTTGTGAGTTGCAGCTGTGAGAAATGAGAAGCTAGTAACTGAGGCCAGTGACAGTTCATGAACCCAGAGGGGGTGGAACATTCACTGTTGGAAGCTGCTACCAAGAAACGGCTAAAGAAGACTGAGAATACATTAATGTGTGCTGTGGTTACAGCGATCTTTGGAGTGTGTAACTCTGCAAGACTGTCGCAGTTATTTGTAGTTACAAGTGCAATAAATCTGATTACCAATCCAAACCACTTCCAGTCACGTTTACCATGTGACAATATACTCATATATTTGTTCGCCTGCTTAATCACTGCGCCATTAAAAGTTACTGTGACAATTGTGTCTATGTCCCTTGAATATCTCAGTCACCATCTTGTCCACATACATTTTCAGTCCATATTCCTTCATAATGAGGTTCCATTTATTTAGCTTCTCTTCAGTTTTCCACAAAACAAAATACTGTGACGTGTATACCCATTAATAGGCAATGGGTTGGTAAACACATTCCTGTGAAGCATAAGAGCTCAACAATAGGACGTCCATTGTTAGGCCACGGGTCAGTAAACCCTTCTTGACAAGAGAAGACAGTGTTTTCCATGGTGTCTGTGCAAAGTGGTTATAAGAAGCGTTTGGCAAGACAGAAACCTTCCTGGAGGCGGAGTCAAATACCTCCACCGTGACTCTGTGAGTCGTAGGAGGCGATGAAAAGGAAAGTCTCAGACCTGAGACAGTAAAATATAGTTGCAAGTCCCAAGGAAGTCGGACACGAGAAAGACTGTGCTGGCGAGTGCCAGCAGCATATACAGAAGACTGACCAGTCCTCTCATCAGAGAGGGCACCCCATAAAAACAAGACTGCAACTGTCAAACAGTAATAAAAATCTGGTCATGAGTCCCAGATGAGGCTCAACACCAAGACTTACTGACTAACTAACTGTCAGTCACAATGTGGCTTTGACTTGACTTGACAAAAGCAGAGTAGGAGGCGAGTCCTAAGAGGTGACGAAAAGGGGAACCCAGTAGCTGGGGGTATAACCGAGCCACCCTCTTCCTCAGGGATATAAATATGAGGACCTGGTCCTCCAAGTGGGGGGAGCCTCAAATCAGAGATGGCAAGTGTGGTCATGAGTCCCACGGGACTCGGACCTAAGAATGACTGCGCTGGTGAGGACCAGCAGCAACTGTAAATGACAGACCCAATCTCACGTCAGAGAGGATGTTTACATAAGGATTATGGCCGCAAGGGTTCAGTTGGGGGGGGGGGGAAACTGACCATGAATCTCAAGGGGCTTGTCGTCAAGACGAACTCACTAGTGGTAAACTGCCAATCGTAAAGTAACTCTGACTCTGAGGCCGTGCCATAGCTCAAGCGGTTAGTCGCTGGCTTCCCACTGCGGCGGCCCGGCTTTGATCCTCGGTCTGGTCAAGCGGGATTTGTGATGGACAAAGTAGCGCTGGGACGGGTTTTCTCCGAGTACTTTGGTTTCTCCTGCCAATCTTCATTTCACAAAATTCTCCATCATCATAATCACCTGGGGCAGGCTACAATAGGCCAATCAGCGGTCGCCGTGCCGAGTGGACCCAGTTGGACTCCACCACCCACTAAGCAAACTCTGACTTTGACAAAAGCAGAGTAAAGGGAGTATAGGCCAGTACTCGAGAGGATTGTGTCTAGTTCTGGAAACGGCAGTTGAAGGTGATTGCGAAGAAATGGCAAGTAAGGAATTCGTCCGTGAAATAAAGACTTCATGTGTGAGAGGAAGTGACAGTGAGACTATGAGAATTCTGCCAGGATATGACTAGTCCATGTCAGGTGGGTCCCTTGTCACCACGGCATGGCGAGTCCTCAGGTTGCGGATGGAGGGTAGCTGCGACTATATTGAATAATCAGTTGTGGACAGCCGGCACGGGGTGGTCTTCCAGCTTGGAGGTTGGGTGTGGGGTTAAAACCCCATACCGTAAAAAATAAGCTTGTTACGAAAGATCACAAGGAGCCTCGGACTTAGACGGATTCCTTGGATAAATGACCTAAGCAAAAGAAAATGGATGAGATTTGGTACTTGAAATCTTAGAAGTATGTATAGGGCAGGTTTGCTCGGGGCAGTGGCAGAAGAAATCTCAAAATATAAGTTACATTTGGTGGGAGTACAGGAGTTCAGATGGGACGGAGGTGGCACCAAACCAGAAGGCAAATAAACATATTTCTCTGGAAAGGGGAATGAGAATCATGAATGAGGTACAGGATTTTTTGTACATAAGAGAATCATATCAGCAGTTAAGAGGGTAGAGGTCATTAGTGATAGGATGTCATACATAGTACCAAGAGGTCGGTGGTGTGATATCATCGTTCTGAATGTTCATGCACCAACAGAAGATAAAATTGATGACATAAAGGACAGATTCTACAAAGAACTAGAACATATATTCAATAAATCCCTTAATACCATACGAAAATTTTGTTAGGAGATTTCAATGCCAAAGTAGATAGGGAAGACATTTTCAAACTGACAACTGGGAATGACAGTTTACACGAAATTAATAATTACATCGAAAAATCTTACTGTCAAAAGTACAATGTTCCCACATCGTAACATTCATAAATTTACTTCGACATCTCCTGCTGGAAAGACATACAACAAGCTGACCATATCTTCATAGAATGGAGATGGCTTTCAAGTATACTTGATGTCTGATTATTCAGGGCAGCAGCTTGTGATACTGACCACTACCTGGTGGTGGAAAATATTATGGAGAGACTGACAGTGAGTAAACAAATAACGCAGTGTTCATCTTGAGAGGTTTAATCTCAAGAAATCAGACGAGGTAGAGGGTAAGGAGCAGTATCATGTTGAACTCTCAAATAGGTTCGCAGCATTAGAAAACTTAAGACACTGAAATGGATGTTAATAAAGCTTGGTAAATTATTAGAGAGACTATCAAAATATCTGCCAAAGGGAGTCTAGGTTATTATGAATTGAAGAAGCGTAAGTCATGGTTCGATGAAGGATGCTTAGAATTATTAGACCAAAAGAAACAAGCCAAATTGCAATGGTTACAGGATTCAAGCGAAATAAATGGGGATAATATGAATAAATTCGTAAGACGTGAAACCAGCAGGCATTTCAGGAATAAAGGAAGGAATATCTGAAAGACAAAACTGATGAGCTTGCAATGAACAGTAAGAACAAGAACATTAGAGACTTGTATAGGGTAATAAACTACTTCAAGAGGGGTTACCAATCTAAAAGTAACTTAGTGAAGGATGAGAATGGTGATCTGCAAATTCCCACAACATTTTGAATAGGTGGAAGAACTACTTCTCTCAGTTATTGAATGTACAGAGGGTCAGTGGTGTTAGGCAGATAGAAATACAAACAGCCCTTCTGAGGTTGGAAGTGCTACCGCAACATTGAAAAGGTATAAATCACCAGGTAGTGCTTAAATTCTGGCAGAAGTAATTGAAGCAGAAGGTGGAAGGAGCATATTATCATACTAGTTCACAAGAAGGTTATAGAACTGACTGTAGTAACTATTGAAGGATTTCACTACTATCAATTTCATACAAAATTTTATCCAATATTCTTCTCTCAAGGTTAAGTCCATATATAGATGAAATTATTCGGGATCATCAGTGTGGGTTTTGATGTAACAGATCAACTACTGATCAGATCT